TCTCTATGTGGTGCCAAGCAGGAGTTATGCCCTGCATTGAGAGGTACTGTACTGGGGGATGGGTCTGAAGGGAGCAAAAGAACGCTCTGTGGAGTTTTCCCTGATATCTTCCATTCTCCATTCAATTCCTTTTCCTTGTTCACTTCCTCCTCTTTGTCCTAGAGAACACCCTCAGAGATATCTTCCTCCTTCTCCTGATCTTCACTTAGGCTGGTATTAATGAGAACAGACAGAGCATACAGCAGATACTCTGAAAAAATACCAATGGATAAAACAGATTAAAGGATTTTGATTGAATGGATGCTTATGTTGGTCGGTAGATGACACAGAAATGTCTGGTGTTCATTGCATGTTGCTGACATTCATGTGCCTCCATTCCATCTCAGGTTCATCAGGGTGTCCATCGAGGAATTCTTTATTTACCAGGGGCACAACAATTACCTTCGCAAACAACTTGCAATTGTCTCAGTGGCATCAGAAATTTGCATATTCCACATAACATCTAGAGTAATTTATTTAATAAAATAATAAGAAATAATCCTTGCAGTTGATATAGTGCCTTATCACATCTGCCAGACATCTATCTCAAAGAGCTTCACAGAATACACCGTAAAGTAAATTGACTGTATATTTAGTGGGCAAAACGCGGCAGCCAATTGCGCACAGCAGTGTCCCACAAACAGGATTGAGTGATCAAATTATTATTATGATTTTTTTTGAAGGGATTATTACTCCTGGAAAAGCAATCTGCAAATCCACTAACAAATGAGTCGATTTGCAAATGGGGACTTACTGCTAACTAAACAGAGGTGTGTGGAGTGGGGAAACTTGCCCAACATTTCGTCCTGCAGAATCGAATCCAGGCTCTCTTACTTGCGAGGTGAGTGCTCTAACCACTAAGCTACAGAACTCCACTACCCAAAATAACTATTGCACCTGCAAAAAGATTGGCAGCAAATTCTACAATACCGTCTTATCAGCTGAACCTTGTAACATGGGAGGGGAGAAATTACTAAACAGCATCAGGCAATGGTTATTCTGAAACAAATGTCTTTTGTAAAGATTGCTTCTGGCAAAATTTGAGCTGGAGAATGCCAAATTATATTTTTTAATAAGCATTGTCTCACAACTCAAAATTAAAAGCAAAGGAATGTTTACATTAGATAAAGCAAATGGTTCTGAAAGTTCCTGTACCATCAATTAATTAGTATCTAATGAGCTGATGGATGTTTTCAGTAGAACTTGTTTTCCCTTCAGACTTACCAGCTGTCAAGTCAAATTCAGTCTCAATGCTTTTCTTTTGCGTCTTAATTGGGATACAGAACAAAGTTGAATTCTCTTTCAGCACTGAATGCATTACTTCATTTACTTTTTCCCATGAATGTTTTACAGATTAGGATACAGTGGTGTAACATGGTTAGATGTATCATGACCTTGAGAACCTTTTGCAAAATATATCCCAAGATCCACGTGATAGTAGATAATAATAATAAAATAAACATCTAAAGTATAATTATAATTGAAGGAAATGGAATGAGAGCCTGATTATGTGGAGAAAGATGAATAGTCCAGCAAAATTCTACCTCCCTCGGCACAGAAACTGCTCTGGTCAAAGTCACAAATGATATCCTGACCATGTGTGATCAGGGCTCCCTCTGCCTCTTCGTCTTCTCCACCGCCTTTGATACTGTGGACCACTCAATCCTCCTCCACCGCCTCTCCTCCCATCTCAACCTTCAAGGTTCTGTCCTTGACTGGTTCAGGTCCTACCTTTCACACCGCCTCCACTTCGTCACTGCAAACAGCTGCTCCTCCAGCCCCCGCACCGTCTCGTGCGGTGTTCCTCAGGGCTCTGTCCTCGAACCTCTCCTCTTCACCCTCTATATGCTTCCCCTTGGTGACATCATCTGCAGACATGGGGTAAACTTCCACATGTATGCGGATGACACCCAACTGTATCTCTCTGCCTCCACCCTCAACTCCAGGACTACTGGCGTCCTGACCAACTGCCTGTCCGACGTCAAGTCCTGGACGAGGGACAACTTTCTCCAACTGAACGTCAGCAAGACCGAGGTCCTCCTGATTGGCTCGTGCACCTCAAGCACTGGCAGCATCAGCCTCCACGGCTGCACACTCAACCTCATTAAGCCAGTCAGGAACCTGGGTGTTTTGTTTTTACCCTGAACTGTCCTTTATCCCCCACATCCGCGCCATGACCGGCACTGCCTACCACCACCTCGGCAACATTGCCAGACTCCATCACTGCCTCATCTCTCAGGCTGTCGAAACCTTCACCCATACATTCATCACATCAAGGCTTGATTATGGAAACTCCCTCCTCATCGGCCTTCCCAACTATTCCCTTCACAAGCTGCAGATCCTCCAAAACTCTGCAGCTCGTGCACTCTCGTGCACCAGGCTCTGTGACCCTATCACTCCCACCCTTGCCCGACTCTACTGGCTCCCCATCCCTCAGAAGATCGAATTCAAGATCCTCGTCCTCACTTCCAAGGCCTTGCTCCCTCCTACCTCTCTGACCTGCTGACTCCCTACCAACCTGCCCGCTCCCTCCGTTCAGCGGGCTTTGGTCTGCTCCATGTCTCCTGCCTGACTCGCCCTACCATCGGTGGTCGAGCTTTCAGGCCCTCAGCCCCCAAACTCTGGTACGCCATCCTACGGTCCCTTCGCCTCGCTTGCTCCCTTGCCTCCTTCAAGGCTAGTCTCAAGACCCTCCTCTTCGATCATGCCTTCAGTCACCCTCCCAACACTCTGCCTTCCCTCACCCCTACCCCACCCCTCCCCCATGCTCGGGTCCTGACCCCTGACTGTCCGGCGCCTTGTAATGTCTTCCCGACGTGAAGGGTGCTCTATAAATGTAATTTTGTTGTTGTTGTCATCAGTTTTAAAGATTTCACTGTGATGTCGGAACAATAATATCAAAATAATAAAGCTGCTGAAATATCTAGAACAGTTTTATTATTTAATATTAAGCCTGAAATAATGAAAAAAGGATCCAAAATACACAGTAATAAAATTATGTAAAGGATAAATCCGCTTCCCCTCATTCATGTCTTGTTCTTCATTCCTCGTTCTCTTCAAGTCCTATTTTTACCATCACCTTTATTTTATTTTTACCTAATTTATCTTTTCTATTCCTCATATTTCCAAACGTTAACTTTGAAACCTTTTACTTCCCTTCTTCCTTATGGCACAGTTGAAAAGCATCCAATAATTTATGTATAATACATCTAATAATTTATGTATAATAAATCCAATAATTTATGTATAATACATTCAATAATTTATGTATAATACATCCAATCATTTATGTGTAATACATCCAATCATTTATGTATAATACATCCAATCATTTATGTATAATACATTCAATAATTTGCTTAGTTTTGTTAGGTTTCTGGCCTTTGAGGATAAACTCATTAATCTGTCATTCACTTTTTATTTCTCGTTTGGTCCAATTCCAGGTGTTTGGCATTTCCCTTTGGATGATTGGTCGATTAGAGAAAATGCATGTTAATGAGAAGGTTTTTCTCTTTGAGTGCTACATTTTAAATGAGTTCTGAATAGATACCTACTAAGCTACGTGGCAAATAGGAAAATTCTGTAAGCCATATTATTTGATGAAAAAAGCACTTGGGAACAAAGTACTCTCCTTGACACCCGATTTTAAACATCAACCAGTCCAAGAAAAAGGAAGCAATCAGAAAAGCAATAGAAAACATGAAAAAGTGCCAAACGACTTATAGTTCAATTATAATAATCATCCTTGCATTTTATATAGCGCCTTATCACGTCGTTGAGAGGTCTTAAAGTGCTTCACAGAATATATTGTAAAGTGGATTGACTGTGTATATCTTTCTGGTTGCCAATTGTGCTCTCACTCTTTCAGTCCCGCTGCACAAAATACCAGCCAAACTCAGATAATTATCCCCAGTGATAATTATCATAGCTAATACTCCATTTCTTGCTTCATATTAGCATAATAATAATAATACTTGTATTTGGTGGTATGGTATCCTTCGGGAGGGAGTGGGGGGGAGGCGGGTGGTAGGGGTTGGTAAGCAGGATCTCAGTGGAGCTGAACTGGATCAAAGGGGACATGCCTGGCAATGGAATGTTGTAATCGAGCTAGCCCCCTGTGGCTGTCCTGGTCGTCCGGTTCCTGAGCCAGGCAGGTCCGCAGTATTCCAGGGCACTGCTGATGACAGCACAGCCAGCTGGCTCATCGACTCAGCTCCTGTTAATCCTGAAGGCCAAAGCCCCAATGGGTAGTGTCCTAGCTGGACAGTGATATCAATGGCAAGCAATGCGTTTTTTTAAAATGGTTAATCATACTCCAACGCACCCCCTGGTGTCCCAAAACCTTGGCTCTTGCTAACCTGTGCTTAATATTTTCTGGAATTAGGTAAGCAGAATGTGTCCCTATAGAGAGAGAGTGCACATTCCATTCCAACAATCTATCTCTGTATTTCCGCACGATGGATTTCCGCATGTGTCAAACACCCGACTGACCAAAAAAATAATAATTGGTATAGCACCTTTCATGCCAAGAGGACATTTTAATCCACATCATTGGATATACCGTAAAGTGTGATGACTGTGTGTCTGTAGGCAAACTAGCAAGTTACTAAGTACTCCAGATAACGTCGTTCCCAAAAAACAGCATTTTCCTCACTTTGCTTTATAAGTTAATAAGATTGAAAATATACACATAAATATAAGTATGATTATAGTTACATTGTGAGACAAACCAAATCATCAATATACAAGGTTAGTTAGTATCTCCTGCCCACCCCACTGTCTTTCCATCACAGCACAGTTTCTTAAATTAGTCCATTGTCCTGGCCTCAACAATCTTTTCTGGAAATTCATTCCACTCATTAACTACTCTTTGGTAAAGAATAGTGCATTTACAAATGACATGCCACACATTTAGTCCATTAACATATGAATAGATTGGGCAACAAATTGCATGAACCTACATTCATCTCCGGTTTCAAACTCTGCCTTCTGACTGTAACTACCGTATCCAGCTGCAGTCCTGGCACGGATCTGAAACACATATTTCGTAGCATGCTTCAGGCCATTAATAATTGCACTGGAAGCTTTGGACCGTGTGGAGGAGTAGCTGAGCTGTTCATGTTCCTGTGTGAAATTAAAGACAAATTACAACCGGGTCAAAACACGATTTACTGTTAATTAAATGACTCCTGACCTCTCTGAAGTTTAAACATTTTCTATTATTTCCAAGTTCCTTCCCTTAAATTTATCTAAGTGAATTTTGTGCTTATCAATCTGAGGGCATCAATCATTCACAGGTCGGTTACATTGCAGGTTAAGGGTTAGAAGTATGATAAAGCTCCTTCTATATATATCACCTTAACAACATACCTTAAACTCCAACCAAGCAATTCCTGATGAAACACTGCGACCTTGTCACTCACTGCACACACCTATCTATGTGGCCTCTTTGGGTAAGATTGCCAATTTAATGAAATCATTACCAATGTAAGAGCCATTTTGGAGAATTTGTCACCAATGGTAACTGGATTGAGACTCTATACACTTATTTCACTTGGCACCCTTCCAATCAGTGCAGGGAGGAGATTTTTGACCATTGGTTTGAGCTGATTCCAAATCAGGTATCAAGTGAAAAGACATCATCTTTAACCCAATGCACTGCCTGGTTCCTAATATGACCACTGTTTGACCATTTTTAGTAAGCAAAGGTTAATAATATTTACGACCCAAGGCAAACTGCTTAAATGAAATGAGCATATATAAATGACAACCATAACTTGCATTTATATGGACAGGTTGGAGTCTGGCTCTTTACAGTAGCTGTTCAACACCAATTTCTGACACTCTGTCAATAGACAGCAATAGATACATGGGAAAGAGTGACAAGCCTAGAAACTAATAATAAAGTTTAATAACAGAAAATACTGAAAATGCACAGCAGGTCAATCAGCAGCTGAAAGAGTAAACTAGGTTCACCTTTTGGGAGTGACCCTTCATCAGAACTTTCTCTTTCAGAGACCTGAAATCTAACGTAGCCCTAAGTTGCAAGACCATTTTGTCTTAAAGTTACCATGGTGCAGAATTCTTCCAATTCAGTTTGGAAGATTTATCTTTCTCCAAGAACTGCAGAAATACAACTTTTAAATGAAGGTTGAGTTGACCCAGTATTTTCCCACAAATTTAGCTCTATTTTACATTTTAAGACAATATAAGACAATATAGTCTTAATCACACCAGGTGGAATTTCAGGCATCCACCGACGAGCAGCAAGTTTCCAATGTTTTAAATTTTATCTCAGAATTTTGGCATTCACAATTTTTCTTTCAATGGGTGAAGAAATCCTACATTCCCTTAAAAATTGTTTTTTATAGGCTTATGAGATTCAATCACATACTATCAGTTTTGTTGGGTAAAATGCCTCTGGAATTGGATATTCTTTGCACTGATATTTTGAGCGGATACTCACTTTTTCGTAGTATTTTATTTCATAGTCCAGAATGATTCCATTTGGATACTCAGGCTCCTGCCATGACAGAGCAATGCTGTTCTGAGAGGCCCAATCTTTCCTCACAAACCCAATCAGCGAGGGAGCTGAAAGGACAAAAAGTTAGTTTTAAAAATATTCATAGAAAATAACAGCTGAAGTGAAACGCTGGCTTTTGGATCAGTTTAGCAGCCATTGTCAAGGTACAATAATCCAGCACCCTACTGTGGTTCATTCAATTTCACAGGTGGGTACTTCTAGGCCTTCCAGTGCCTTGCCTACTTCAAGGCCCATGTCAAGACCCCCTCCCCCCCCTCTTTGTCCACCCCTTTTCAGTCACCCTCCACCCTTCTTGATCCCAACCCCCAGCTCAGGTCCAAATCTCCAACTGTCCTGCGCCTTGCGACGTCCTCCCCACATGAAAAGCGCTTTACAAATGTAATGTTATTGTTGTATTGAACCTTAATCTGTTGGGCTTCCCCAGTAACCCTCTGAATGTTTCGCTCATAAAATGCAGTCTATCCACTTTACAGTGTAACCTATGAAATGCCTTGAGACGTCTCAATGATGTGCTGGGTGCTGTATCAAATGCAAGGATTATTTATTATTACTTTCTACCCGTCGTAGATCTATCCAGACAGAGATGCATTGATAAGTTTGTAGCAACCAGTGAAGACGTTCCAGTGCTCACCTGCATATATTGGTGTCACTACAGAGTGGAATAATAATCCATAAATTTGCAGGATGGGTGAACTATATGCAAATACATAATCTACTATGATCTTTTTCGTTGGTTGTTAATTTATTACATAATTAAGAGTATTTGCAACTCTTTCTGTACAGATGCATTTGCACATTATTCACACAACTTGCAAATTTTCCATCTGGGTTGTTGGCCAAACTTGAAAATTAGACTCCAATGAAAAACATTTGAGTATTTGATTTTGCTAAATCTCAGGTTCACACCAGCCTTCATTTTGTACATTCAAAAATTCAAAGAAAGAGATCAGTTAGACTTAAACAACAATCAATATACATTTGCCAATAGTCGCTCTAGTTTCCTTCCTTAAATTTCTTCTTGATTGTACTGAACAAAAGTTGGGAGATGCTCTTGCTTTAAAAATTCCACCCTGTGATATTGGCATTGTTATTGGTTGTATCTCTCTGTTTTATACTATCTGCATTTGTGCAGTGTTATGGGCAGGCAGGGCTATACGAGCCTGGCTCCTTCTACCAAAGGAATGAGTAAAAGGGAGACAGAGCTCCAAGCAGAGTTCCTCCAACACATGCAAATAGTGTGATTCACTGTCTTGCACCATTACTATCAGTATCATCTGCTGGTACTGAACTGGTAGCAGAACAGAACTGGTAGCAGAACTAGATGTGTTTAAATCAGAAGAAACAGCTTCTGCAGGTACATACGTTGACTAATAGTTCAGTTCTACACAGTTTCCTCCAATCTAGTACAAGTTTTGCATTGAATCATTGCAAACTACAGCATCAATGCAGTTTCAGGCTCCATGCCCAAATCAGGCAAGCAGCACGAGACCACCACAGGAAGGTAGTCTCACACCACATGGGCATTGCTTCAATTATAGTGTAAGTGTAGTTGGACTGCAGCTGCTTCAGTGTGCATTTTTAAATAACTGTTTTGCTTTAGAAGCTGCTGGGTAGTGCATTGGAGCACTTTGTAAGGTTTTTAACATCAGTCAAGAATAGGTGAAACTCCTGGCTCCTTTAATCAATATTAAAAATTAAAAATTAACCACATTCAGCAGTTTACCTACTGAGCTCATGATAAGAACATTCCACGGCTGCCAATGCAATTTCAGTGTACTACTGGCAATGTTTTGAATTACTTCTTGTAATATAATAATCTTTGAGTTTAATAGTATATTTAGTTCAATAGAATACATATTATATATAAAACACAGTACATATAATATAGTATATGTATATAGTACATATGTATTTGATATATTTCATATATAATATAACTGCAACATAAAATGATTTTCCTATGCGCTGTTTGCAAACCAATTTTATAGTTTCAATCACTTCAATTCAAAGGTAGTCACTATCATGCCACATTTTCCAGTGATCACAGGTTACAAATAGAATCTAAATGAACCTCATGGGTTCTCCATTGATTTATGACCTTAGATTCTGTTTTTTTTTGGTCCGCCATGTCTGGCCATGAGGAAACCCACTGCTACATTTAAGAATATCCAAACCAAACTAAGTGTATATGTATGCCATTTGCACATGAAAATATTCCTGTGTCTGAAAGAGTCCACACTCTCTCCAGAGGACTAGACCTTACTAACCTAATTCCTGAAAGTATTAGATGCAGGTTGGCAAGAGCCACTTTGGGGTCCCCAAAGTAAGCTTTTGTGTTCTGCTGGAGGTAAACCAGCAAAAAACACATAGCTTGCCATTGCAAATCCTGTCTTGCAACTTTCCCACTTCTTGTCAGCAAGCATCAACAAACATTTTAGGGTTTTCGTCTGCAGGTATGAGCGGAGTGGGAAGAATCCCTGTCCCAAGAGACTGGGTGTTGGAAAATCCAAATAAGAGACACTCGCTCGAATGGATTATATTGGTTCTTTAATACTCAGAATCCCAATGGGTTAATACACTCGGTTAATTGCCCGCAGGCACGACCATCGTCCCAACTATCTACTAGTTACGATCGTACCGGACACATAATTTCTGCGAGTACCATGGCCACCGTCCCAACTATCTACTCGTTACTGTCGTACCGGACTCCTAATTTCTGCGAGTACCACGGCCACCGTCCCAACTATTTACTAGTTACGGTCGTACCAGACTCACAAACACGTCAACTGCTGAGTGTATTAATTCAGAGTATCCTGCCGAATCCCAAATTGTTAGAAAATAAAATCAGCCAAATCTGTAAGGAAATAACGCTAATTCCTTTAACCAGATATCTGACTGTTTTATTATTATTCGTTCGTTATTCCCCAATATCCCGTTGGGTCAGACCAAAGGCCGGTACAATCAACAGATCTTATAACAGAATAATACCACCGTAGATATCTCGAGTTCAACACTGTCTTTACAGCACACAAGCTTGATTCTTCATGCTTTCAGTCTTCTTGCTTACAGCTTTCAATCTTCCATCTGATATCCTCAGTCTTAGTGTTTCTAGCTCTCAGTCTTCCATCTCTCATACCCTTGTCTCCGCAGCCCGGGACGGCCCCATCTCCCGTATCCTTGTCTCCGTGACCTGGGACGGCCCCATCTCCCGTATCCTTGTCTCCGCGATCCGGGACGGCCCCATCTCCCATATCCTTGTCTCCGCGACCCGGGATGGCTCCATCTCCCGTATCCGTGTCTCCGCAACCCGGGACGGCCCATCTCCCGTACCCTTGTCTCCGCGACCCGGGACGGCCCCGTACACAAAGTTATCGGAACTCTTATACCGATGTTCGTCCAATCATTGTGCGGACATTAGATCACCTGTCGAAATCATGCTGGGTTCACGTGAACACCTCATGGGGTGTACGTGCCTCAGCACACATACACATTGTTCTTAAGATCCCTGTTATCTGATGCTTGTTATTTTGTAAGGTGGGATCATTAGTACATTCCTTTTAAGTGACTGGTTATTTCTTATCAGTATCCCGGGATGGTATCAAGGTCCTCTAGTTTAAGCAACTTGTTCGTTAGCTGCTATTCTTGAGGGTTGCCTTTTGTTGCTCTTGAGTGTTAATCATGAGTGTCAGTCCAGTTGCCCCCCACACTTAACTTAAAAGTTAACCCATTTGCAACATCTATTATGATTCTAACATTATACAAAGGTGTAAATTCTAACATGGGCTTCCCCACTAAGTGCGACTAACAGATGCCACTACTAGCTGTTCTATCATCAGGAATGTCTTGAAGTATTGTGGATGAACCTGGCTCAGGAATTGGGCTACAAAAACTGCCACAGAGGATTGACTCGATTCTGAAATTCCATTGCCAAGCACAGCACCTTGGAGCTAGCTTATCCCCAAGGAGATCCCACGTTACCTTCCTCCCAAGGAGGCAACTCTTCTAGTACAATAAATACCAGCTTAAAAGGAAACCTGGAGTGGGGAACACAAACAGGGTATCACTTGGGGCTAAATTGACTGAGGAACTGAAGCGTGGCCAGACAGGTCCATGGTGATCCAAGTCAAGCTCATAGTTGTGGACATGTCCCCAATTCTGCCAATCAAAACCCTAACATGTAGATTAATCCCAGCCGTGCTGTATGTTTACCAATGAGTGTGATCTGATCGCTTTTCTTTAAGTAAAGATTCCAAGTAAACAAAATATAAAAGGAACTCGTCAAGAAATGTGCTAGTACACTGATCAAAAGCAAACTAATTAATTAAATTTTTTTAATCAGATTGTCACTTTATTTAATCGGAATTTTCCATTTATTTTGAATCAGTATTTCATTGTGTTTCTAATATACAGCTGCCAAAACAAGTTCTCCACATGATTTTTTTAAAAAGTCACTAATCCACATATCTGGCAGCTCATTCATCTCATAAAATCTGTTACTAGGCCTTAAGTTTGTCCCTGAGGTGTTTTTCATTGCAATAGGAGCTTTGTCTTTAAAAACACTTTCTTTCCAGCTTATCATCATGAAAAATGTCAGTGCTGTGAAATGGAACATTTTCCAATTTCAAGCACCCAGTGTATCAGCATCAAGCACTCCCAGGTCAGGTAGAGTTTACTTAAAAGCTGAGTAAAGCTTTTTCTCCTCTGGCCCAATTCAAACTCAAAATTCCTAACAATACAGAAACATAATAATAGTATAATAATCCTTGGATTTAATATAGATTTCAAGATCCTCATCCTCACCTACAAGGCCATTCACGGCCTTGCTCCCTCCTACCTCTCCAACCTACTATCCCCCTACCTACCTGCCCGTACCCTCCGTTCCTCTGGCTCCGGTCTGCTCCACGTCCCCCGCCCCAACCGCCCTACTATCGGTGGTCGGGCCTTCAGCCTCTCAGCCCCGAGGCTCTGGAACTCCATCCCCAGTGCCTTCGCCTTGCTTCCTCCCTTTCCTCCTTCAAGGCCGGTCTCAAAACCTTTCTCTTTGACC